TACACCACCGCTTGACTTTTCTTGCAAGTAAACAACAAGGATCCTAAACAGCACCTGCAGAAGGTTGTTGTCCTTCTCCAAGCACTGTTTAGATTCCTCCTTCTGCTTTCTCAGGCCACAGTGAGAAGCTTGTGTGACTTAGTTTCACACAGCTATTGTGCTCCCTGCTTGCTTCTTGCATTTAGCATCCACACTTTGAAACAAATGCACAGGAGTAGAAACCTTTGCAAACTTCATGTAACTTGATGTTCTGGAATAGTGGAAGTTTTGGATCTTTGTGGGTGTTCAGAGCAATAGCTCAGAAATGCTTAGAGTGTGAGCAGGAGCCTGCCAGAATTGGGAACTGGTCTCCTCATTTTCAAGCCATTGGGACAGGCTCTTTCTTGGTGAGGCAGCTTGTCGGAGATCAGGAGTGATGTCTTTTTTCTGAGGAGATGCACTTAGGTGGGAATGGCCCATAGCACCATTGGATGCATATTGCAGCCTTTGCAGGAGTGTTTTTGTATCCTTGTGTGCTGTCATTGGTGTGGCAAAAAGCAAGTGTCATGTTAATATGAGTGCGACAGAAAATGCTAAGGCTTTGTTCTCTCTCAGCGTCAGCGAAAGCGCCCGGGAGAGCCTCTTGAGTCCGGACCACCTCGGAAACGGAGAAGGCTGCTGCCCTCCATCGCAGGTGGAAGTTGGCAGACAGAGGCAAGAGGCCCAGAGGAAAGTGGTTCACCTGCTTTAGAGCCTGGTAAGAACAGAAACTGCTTCTGGAGGCTTGGAGTTGATTTGAACATGTGCTGTTGTCAGTTCCTAGGCCCTTTCCTGGGGAGGAAGGGAACCTTGGGCTTGAGGAAGCACCTGGTATGGCATCCCTAAACAACAAACCTAGTGGCAGCTGTTTTGGTTTGTTACTGACCCCTATACATTGGCATCTAGTGGGAGATGAGCTGTGTAGCAAAGGCCCCAGGTGCTGCTCAAACACCTGGATGTGAGCTCTGAGGAGCTGGCAATGACTGCAGCAGCCACAGTGTCGGTGGCAGGCTGAGTTAGGGATCTGCCAAGCTGGAGAAAGATGAAGAAAAGTTAGTCATTAGCTGTGGCCCATTCTTCAGGGGAGCATGGACAGCATGGTACTGTAAAATTATTATCCCCTCTAGTTTTGGTTGTTTCTTTCTCCTGTGTGCTAAACATTCCCCTGTGTGAGAGGAATGATCTGCTGGGGTGAACGTCTCATAAGCTGTTGTCACCCAACAGAACTTGTGAGAAGCTCAGGTGCTCTTCCTCTTGTTTTGCCCCTTCTGAGGACAGGGCTGGCAATGCTCCCTCTGGACTATTGAGGGCAAAGCTTGAGTGAAATCTTTGACACATTCCTGAAACGTAGGGCACATTGAAATGAAGCACAGCCTATTCAACAGAGGCAGTCCATTTCATTGCTCTGCAATCTCCGACCTTCATTCTAATGTTCTCTTATTTCCGTTCATGGAGAATTCATAGGTGTGTCAGGCAAATCTTCTGAGGCTGCTGTTGTCACTGTTGGTGCTGGTGACTCTGCTATGGTAAGTAGTGACTGGCACACTCCTCTCCATATTGCATGCAGATTAATTTTCTTGCCCTCTGGAATCTTACTAAGTCCCCTGGCCTCCAAGGCTGAAAGATGCCTCTGATGTAGCACTTTAGACACAATTCCCAGTCAACTCCAAACACACTCACAGACACTTCAGCATGAATGTGAATCTTGAAACATTTTACGAGGTACTTCTAGAAAAGATTTCAAGGGTTTGTTGTCACAGTGTTTTAGGGATGGTGAGGCAGTAGCACACAGACTCTCTGAGGGGTTGTCCAAGAGAGCAAGTTTTATTATTCCAGTTCTTCTTTTCTAGACAGGTCTGAGAGGTAAAACTCTAATTGGTCATTAAAGCAACACATCCCGGTCATTGGACAATTGATACACCACCGCTCGACTTTTCTTGCAAGTAAACAACAAGGATCCTAAACAGCACCTGCAGAAGGTTGTTGTCCTTCTCCAAGCACTGTTTGGATTTCTCTTTATGCTTTCTCAGGCCACAGTAAGGAGCTTGTATGACTTAGTTTCACACAGCTATTGTGCTCCCTGCTTGCTTCTTGCATTTAGAACATACACTTTGAAACAAATGCACAGCTCCCTGCTTGCTTCTTGCATTTAGAACATACACTTTGAAACAAATGCACAGGAGTGGAAACCTTTGCAAACTTCATGTAACTTGATGTTCTGGAATAGTGGAAGTTTTGGATCTCTGTGGGAGCTCACAGCAGCAGTTCAGAAATGCTTAGAGTGTGAGCAGGAGCCTGCTAGAACTGGGAACTGGTCTCCTCATTTTCAAGCCATTGGGACAGGCTCTTTCTTGGTGAGGCAGCTTGTCGGAGATCAGGGGTGATGTCTTTTCTCTGAGAAGAAGCACATAGGTGGGAATGGCCCATAGCACCATTGGATGCATATTGCAGCCTTTGCAGGAGTGTTTTTGTATCCTTGTGTGCTGTCATTGGTGTGGCAAAAAGCAAGTGTCATGTTAATATGAGTGCGACAGAAAATGCTAAGGCTTTGTTCTCTCTCAGCGTCAGCGAAAGCGCCCGGGAGAGCCTCTTGAGTCCGGACCACCTCGGAAACGGAGAAGGCTGCTCCCCTTCAGCGCAGGTGGAAGTTGGCAGGCAGAGGCAAGAGGCCCAGAGGAAAGTGCTTCACCTGCTTTAGAGCCTGGTAAGAACAGAAACTACTTCTGCGGGCTTGGAGTTGATTTGAACATGTGCTTTTGCCAGTTCCTAGGCCCTTTCCTGGGGAGGAAGGGAACCTTGGGGTGGAGGAAGCACCTGGTATGGCATCCCTAAACAACAAGCCCACTGGCCGCTGTTTTGGTTTGTTACTGGCCTCTATACATTGGCCTCTAGTGGGAGATGAGCTGTGTAGCAAAGGCCCCAGGTGCTGCTCAAACACCTGGATGTGTGCTCTGAGGAGCTGGCAGTGACTGCAGCAGCCACAGTGTCGGTGGCAGGCTGAGTTAGGGATCTGCCAAGCTGGAGAAAGATGAAGAAAAGTTAGTCATTAGCTGTGGCCCATTCTTCAGGGGAGCATGGACAGCATGGTACTGTAAAATTATCATCCCCTCTAGTTTTGGTTGTTTCTTTCTCCTGTGTGCTAAACATTCCCCTGTGTGAGAGGAATGATCTGTTGGGGTGAACGTCTCGTAAGCTGTTGTCACCCAACAGAACTTGTGAGGAGCTCAGGTGCTCTTCCTCTTGTTTTGCCCCTTCTGAGGACAGGGCTGGCAATGCTCCCTCTGGACTATTGAGGGCAAAGCTTGAGTGAAATCTTTGACACATTCCTGAAACGTAGGGCACATTGAAATGAAGCACAGCCTATTCAACAGAGGCAGTCCATTTCATTGCTCTGCAATCTCCGACCTTCATTCTAATGTTCTCTTATTTCAGTTCATGGAGAATTCATAGGTGTGTCAGGCAAATCTTCTGAGGCTGCTGTTGTCACTGTTGGTGCTGGTGACTCTGCTATGGTAAGTAGTGACTGGCACACTCCTCTCCATGTTGCATGCAGATTAATTTTCATGCCCTCTGGAATCTTACTAAGTCCCCTGGCCTCCAAGGCTGAAAGATGCCTCTGATGTAGCACTTTAGACACAGTTCCCAGTCAACTCCAAACACACTCACAGACACTTCAGCATGAATGTGAATCTTGAAACATTTTACGAGGTACTTCTAGAAATGATTTCAATGGTTTGTTGTCACAGTGTTTTAGGGATGGTGAGGCAGTAGCACACAGACTCTCTGAGGGGTTGTCCAAGAGAGCAAGTTTTATTATTCCAGTTCTTTTCTAGACAGGTCTGAGAGGTAAAACTCTAATTGGTCATTAAAGCAACACATCCCGGTCATTGGACAATTGATACACCACCGCT